TAGTATCGTCTTAATAATTAATTGACTTAATATTTAAAAATAGAACAATTTATTATTGGTTAAAAATGTTTACTGTGACGTAGCATTTTTTAATCATCATTTACTTAAAATCAATTTCTTATTCCGTAAGGTGATTTTAATAGCTTAGCCCCATATGCAGAAGAAATGTGTAAAATCTTAAAGAATGATACATCAGTAAAACTACATGCTACTATTAATTCAATTAATATTAGTAATAAAAGAAAGAATAATGATGATATAAGTAATAATGTTAAACCAGTTAAGTTAATAATAATAAAAATGATATAAATGAAATTATTAAATAAAGAATTGAAGAAGAAAGAGAATAATATAAAGAAGATAGAAAATAGAAGGAAAAAATGATGAGTGAATCTAATGAAATAAGAAAAAAAACAATTAATGTATTAAAAAGATTAAATAAATTACTTAAAAATATATATAAGGATATCAAATAAAAAGAATAATTTTTTATTTGAATATTGTAAATATAAATACTATTCAAATATAATAAATAAATATTTTAAATAAAATATTATAAAACAAATTTTCTTTTATTTATAATATAAGATATATATTAATAATTTATAAATAATTCTTGAACAAATTCTAATCTTTTAGAATTATCTTTATTTTTTATTTTTAAATAATTATCATTAATATCAAATTTATCTACTTTAATTAAAAATAGTTCTTATAATTATTTTTAAATTTTAATTAAGTTATAACTTAATTACGCTATAAGGAAATTTAATTACACTATAAGTTATAACTCAATTACGCTATTTTTTAATTGCGATGACTATCTTTAACTTCAATATTATTATCTAATTTCAAAATATCTAAATTTTTTATACAAATATTATGAGTAAATAACAAATATATATTATTTGAATCATATGATTTAAATTATGACTAAATATTCACCCTTCACCAAGAATTCTTCATCTAGATTTAAATTTATTAAAAGCTCTTTCAATAATTACATATATTAAAGAATGTACTTTATTAAATTATTTTTCTAAATTATTTCTTCTTACATTATCTTTAAAAGGTGTAATTAATCAAGATTTAAGTAAAATCCAGAGTTTTCTAGTAAATATCTAATAAAAATTATATTTTAAAAAATTATATTAAAAATTAAAAATTTAAATTATAAAAATATTTTACTTACTTTTCTTTATTTAATATAATCTTTCCCATAATAATAACCTTTTAAGCATTTTTAAATCATATACAAAACCTAATTCTCCTGTATATACATATGTAAATTTTTCATTTGCATCAATCATATTTAATAATACTAAAAAATAAAACTTTTTATGATTAATATATTTATTAAAATGTTTTACACATAGATTAATTTTATATAAAATTCACTTATTACTCCAATAATTTTATCTAAATATAGCCATAGTTTTAGACATATAAAGCCATTTATAATATTTTCAATATTATTTTCTGTTGGTCATTTAATTATATTTTTAAAAATTGATATCATTGCTTGTAAAAATCTAGAAGTAAAATTAACAACAGAATCCTGAGATATTCTTATAAAATATTATTAAATATTAATATTAAATATTTTAATAAATTATTACTTTTAATAAAATAAATTTTTATACTCATAATTTGTTCTAATACACAAAATCCTAAACAAGTTCTAAGCCTTTAAATTACAATAGCAATTTGAATTTCTAATAATATTTATAATTTGATTAATATAATAGATATTTTGCAAGTCAATATAATAAAAGGTTAAATATAATACGAGTAATATAAAAATGATTTTTAAATGAATTATATTCTGTATCTTCTCATAAATTTAGAAAAATATCAATCTAATATTCTAATGTTTTAAGATATAGTATTTTAGTCATCTAAATAATAAGAGTATATGTAGAAGTAGAATTATTTAATAATAAAAAAAAGGTTTTGTTAAAAAAAGAACTTAAATATTTAAAATTATCTTCAAATATTAAATAAACTGTTACTATATAAACAGTAATTAAAAGAAAAAACTCCAATAATTTTTTATTCAGATTCAACATTACAGTTATTATGAAAAAAAATTTTATAATTAATAAAAATTATTGATTATATTAATTTGAATATTAAAATTAGATTTCTTGTATTTTCATCTAAGTTAAGACATAAAATTCCTAGCTCTAGTTTAAGGTGAACAAATAAGCTGATATAAGCCAATCAAATTTTAGTACTAACTTTTTGGATCTTAGGGTGAACAGCCTTAGGGTATAGATAAAAATAGCTAAAAATTATTAATATTTATCTTATTGATGATAAAGATTAATTAAATTTTAATGATTATTAAAAAGGTTTTTTTGAAAATTGTTTACAAAATTATCTATTTTTAATCAAGTCTTAAAGTTATAATATTTATATTTAATTCACTAATATAAATAAATAAAATATTTATTGATTACAAATAATAAATAATTAATAATATAATTTGATTAATAATATAAAAGAATTTTTAATGCCTTCTGGATTTTTTGCGTAATTTTTATTTAATTTATTTTTTTATCTTCATTGTCTTCGTCATCTATTGTAATGTAATCAATATACCTTTTGGTTATGTATATCACGTTGTATCAGCTGATTTTTTGAATCAATATTTTTTTATTACAATAATATGCTTTTTAATATAATATTAAAAGACTTATTTCTTTTTTCTTTTTAATTCTAATTACAAAAATATAATTAATATTTTACAAAAAGCAATTATACAGTTTGAAAAGAAAATGTAATTAATTATAATTATATAAAAAAAGAAAAATCTAAAAGAAAGTTATATAATTTGATTTATAAGTTTATTTTATTTATATATGATCATTTTCAAAAGCTAAAAGTATTATTTTACAAAAAAATGTATAATACAGAATTTTTTTAAAAATTATAAATAAAATATCAATCAAATTTAAATATATTAAAATTAAGTCAAAAATTTAAAATTAGCTAAATTTTTAATTTTCTGATTATTTAATTTATAGGTACTTTAATTTAATATTTTAAATAAAATAGAATAATAATTTTAGAAGTGATTATACAGTTGATTCTCAATAATATAAACTCATGATATAATAAATTTTTGTTTATTATATGACTTTACTTAATAAAATACATCAAAATTTTGTTATACTAAACCTATTAATCAATTTTTTTCAATTATATTATTATCTAAATTTTAAAATTAATTATTTTAGAAAAATTTTTTTATTATGGATATTTATAATAAATAATTTATTAATTAAGTTTATATAAATGGAATTATTTATAGATAAAACTACCAAATAAAGTCTATATAATTATTATTTCTTTTAATATTATTAGATTACAAAATAATAAATCAAATAAGTAATGTGCTTCTATAGCTTTTTAGAATGTTAGGGATTTAGCTTATAAATTTTTTTGATAATCAAATTATTTATCTGCAAAAAATTCTTTACGATTAATTGGTAAGGAATGAAAAGAAAATTTCTTATGTAAATTATTAGCAAAATTTTCAATTAAACCGGGTTAAAAAATTTGTGCGACGCACATTCCGCACATTTGAATTGTTCCCCTTATTTATATAAAACACTTCCCAATTAAGTAAGGTCACTGATCGGCAGTCGGATCTAATAGAACCGACAATTTTTGTTCCTCTCCCCAAACTTTTTATTTATAAGATAGATCTACAGTCAGTAATAGTTAATTCCGTTTTAGTTTACAAAACTTGGTCAATTTAGTATTACATTATGGCAGAATATCTCGCTTCGATCTATGGAACAGAAAAGGACAAGTAAGTCTTTTAGATCAGATCTTGTTTTTAGTTTAAAAGTTGTACTTACTATTTTATCGTTTATTATTATTAGGGTTAATTGTTCTTTTTATTTTAAAATTGGGGCCTGTCGTCATGGAGATCGGTGTAGTAGGAAACATGTTAAGCCGACATTTTCACAAACGATTCTTTGCTCTAACATCTATCAAAACCCCGCACATGATACGAATTGTAACATGTCTGAAGAACAAATTCAAGCACATTTTGACGATTTTTATGAAGATTTTTTCACCGAATTGTGCAAATATGGAGAGGTTGAAGAGATGCATGTATGTGATAATGTAGGCGATCATTTGATTGGAAATGTTTATGCTCGATTTAGATATGAAGAAGATGCTCAGAAAGCAGTAGATAATCTTAACCAAAGATTTTATGCTGGTATGCCATCCTTTCATTTTATTATGCTCATCTTTTTTTTTTTTTTATTATACATGACGACTTTAACAAATATTTCTTTTTAATTAAATTACAAAGGACGGCCTATTTATGCCGAGCTTTCTCCAGTTACAGATTTTCGAGAAGCTTGTTGTCGTCAAAATGAAAACGCAGAATGTACTAGAGGAGGATTCTGTAATTTCATGCATTTGAAAGAGGTATCAAGATATTTAAAGAAAGAGCTTTTTGCCGCTCAAAGAAATTATTTACGCGAACAAAGGCGAGTTAAACGCGATAAGAGTGAAGAAAGTCGACATTCTGAAAGTGGATCTTCGCCACCTAGAGAAATATCATCTGATAGAGTTGATCGGGATGATAGATCAAGAGAAAAAGATCGGAAAAGCTCGCGTCGAAATCGTCGGGAAGATCGAAGGGATAGTTATGCCGAAGATTTGCGATACGAATATTAAATTATCAATTTGATTTTTTTTTTTTTTTTAAAATAATTACATGGATTAATTGAAGATTAATTAGCACATTGTGAAAAAGTCCATAATATATAACAGTTTAATTATACAGCATAATCAAAAATATACAATGTCTATTTCCAAACTTTTCTACATATTTAGATGTCATTTAGATTACCTAAAAAAAATTTGTTATGAATAAAGTTATTGTAATATGTAAAAATTCAATAGAAATATATATATATATATAAAAATATAATATATAATATATATAACAGATAATATACTTTTTATTTTCTCAACAAGTTTTAATTTTTTTCGTGCTTCAAAAATTGGCAATTTTTCTGCAATTCGTACAGCATTGAGTTCTATTGTTGAAGATTGTTGCGTTTGATCAATAATTTTCTCTTTTTTCTCTTTATGTAATTTTCTACAAAACAAAATAACGTCTCTTCGGATGCCCTTTAAAGAGATAAAATCAGAGAGAGATTTCTTCATAAAATCGTTATCATTCGAAATGGTCCATTCATAAAAAAATCTTGATTTCTCAACTTTGTCGCAAATTTTTCGATAAGAATCATCGTTAATACACAATAATTCCCTAACGACTATGTCGTCTCTAGCGGTTACAATTGCGAAACACGTTCCATCTGAAATTTTAAATTTGCATAAAGCGTAAAATCTTCGGCCTAAATGACAACCATTAGGACAAGAATTATTATATATAATTCTTTCACAAGCCTCACAAACAAATTGCAAAATAATTTCATAAATATGAGTTATTCTGCAAAGAATTCGAAATGTACATTGTATAGAAATCCCATCTTCAAAAAGATCTATTAAGTTCGTGTTATTGAGTTCTTGATAAAATGATATATTTGCTTTTGGATACCCTTGCAATGATATATGAGTTATTTCATGCGCGTAACAATATATGTTACCCAAATCAGATTTTCTGACTTCAACTTTTCTCAATGTAATCGTTTGTCCTGGGATTAAACCGATAGGAATAACGTATCTTGATATGTTATTTATATATACATCGATGATTTCCTCTGTATGGATATCTTGAATTCTAAGTAACAAATTAGCATTTAATTGTCCTACATTAATGTATTTTGATGTTGATGAATTCATGAAATTTGGCTGGGCTAATGACGATCGAATTTCTTTTGATACAACGAGTCCCTTCAAAGACACTAATCTACCAATAAAATGTTCATTCAAAATTTCCTGTACATCTAATAGTTTATCCTCTATCGAGAATGATTTTTCTAGAACTCGAAAAGAGTCCTTGGACGATTCATCCAATTCGAGAATTTTAGGTTGAATCACGTGACCAAGCAAATCTTCAAACGTTGAGTTGGACGCATCCCACTGTAAGTTGATGACATTCGCAGTTACGAAATTATTCAAGTTAAAATTGATTATCATTCCCATTGAATTGATTATCTGTTCAGGTTTACCAAAAGATAATTCATAGAATAAGCCAACGTGTATAGCTGGTAAAATCTTGATAAAATCTCCTGATAAATGAATAAAGGCTGATCTTGAAATGTTGTTGAAAGCAATCTTTCGTGAATTGGTAGTTAAATCTGGTGAATCTTCTGAAAAATCTAACATCTCTATTTGTAGTTTACAATTCATATTGGGAGCTAAATACTCTGATGGACAATTCAATTTTGTGGAAAAAATGTGACGAACTTGGAAAAAGATCTGATTATATTTAAATGGTGAGTTATATGGTTTTGCGTAAAAACAAAAACATTTTTCAATCGCAAAACGTAAATAGATTTTGCTATGTTGTTCAATCACGAGTTCATATTCAGGAATTATCCATACATTATTTAGATGATGAGTATGAACTTTTTCAATAGAGATATTAACTACCGAGATCTTTCCAGTTTGATCCTTTAATTGAAGAGTTCCATCCAAATTCACTTCAAGAAACCCCATCAAATGAATTTTCTCTAATTTTGCTTCAAGCTGTGAAAATACTCTTGACTGATCCCCTCCAAGGAATTCGGATAATCTTTGTGATGAGACTAGTTCATCAATAAATTGTAAAACTTCCGATATTGGAGGTAACCTAATATTAATCTCTTCATTCTCTTCAGTAATACGACAAGAATTTTTATGATTAAAATAATCTTGTGCCCAATCTTGAAAATAATTTGATACACGATATTTCCTTAAAAGTTTCGAAAGGAGACAGGCCTCAACGTTGCTTTTACTTGGTCTTGGATCACTTAACAAGGTCTGATCTTCAAATTCACCCGGGAATTTGTTGGAAATATCGTAATATGCCTTTTGAACCCATAATAATTCCAACAAAGTTATCAAGTCACTATTACGAAAACTTGAAAATTTACTAATAATTTTTTGCGAAACCGAATCAGACCTAATGATTTCATTCGGAAATCTGATCACTTGAATGGTACTGCAGTGACAAGCAGCAAATATCACATTAATATTTTCAAAGCTAGGACAGTTTTTGTGATTATTAAGTTTCCAAGTGTCTTTTTCCATTGTGAGTTTTATTGCATGAATGTTGTGTAAAAGCAACTTCATACCAAGCCTATAAGGAGTTATTAATGGATTATACTCTGGATATTTGCCAAGATGTAAGATATATTCCGAATCTAAAACGAACAATCCCAAAGCATTGTCTATGATATAGGTGATTATGCCTTCATAACCAAAACACATACGACCTAGATCAGTTGAATTTTGGGTATTCTCAATTAGGTTACTGCTATTATAAACCATTTCGTGTTCTCTGTTGATATTTTTAACCGGGTCAATTGAACTGACCTCAACAACCTCAAAAATTGGAATTGATTGAGATGCCTTTTTATTAAAAGTTGCTTCTTTGAAAAAGTATATTTCACCGACCATGATCATTTTATAATACTCAATAAAATGATCACCGTGAAATACAATATGTACGAATGAACTTGGATCATGTACTTCATTGAGCGTCACAATAAAAGTGGTTTCGCCTTCAGTTTGATAAAGAACACTCTTCATGTTAACCATTGCACATAAATTAAGCTTTGAAGGTGACTTTGTGGAATTCCTATCAAAGTTAAACAGCATATCGGTTGCTGTTTTAAAAGATAAAGGATTTAATTGTTGACTGGAAAATGATAATCGATTTCGCTTCTCAAAACGTTCAATATTTATATTTGTTGCTTTAGAATATAATGCTTCAGAATCTTGTAAAAAAAGAACTTCTGAATGCACTTCTAAATGAAACACTTCTTTTCCGTTTGGTTGCTTGTTTATTAAGAAACTCCATGATAACAATGATATTGTTCTAGTAAACCATTCTTTTTCGTAGCCTATTAAAAGACAAGGAACTTTCCCGGTCTCGTCTTCGAATAAAATTGTACCTTTTGGATATACCGAATTATCTCTTATAACAAGTTGTAAGTTACCCAAAAGAATAACTGTATTTGTAGTTATACATTGTTTATTCGATATTAGTTTTGAAAGTAACCATCTGTGATATTGTGTCATGATTTTCCAGAAGTGAATTGAAGTATTTGATCGCGCAGATTGTCAAAATATTTACTAATCACGCGTCGAAATTTAATTGGCGTTTGATAATCAAAAATTCATTTTTAATATAGAAAGTCTAAAATTATTAAAAGTTAAATTTCCTAGATTTAAGTTTTATGATATTGTATAATTTTGCCAAGATATTTTTTTATATACATAGCTATAATCGAAGTTAAGTATATATAAGTATTTTAGTTGTTTATTTAAAATAATATTTGATTGAGATACTAATATTCAAATTCAACATTTTTTTTTTTAATTTTGATTTAATTATTTTATTGTTTCTCTAAGAATTGTCTTTCGATTTTTGATTAATTGAATAAAATCAATTCAATCCATTGAGTTAGATGCTTGAGAACAACCTAAATAAATTAAATTCAAATAATAAATAAAATAATTACCGTATGCCTCCGAAATTAAGCACCTTTTTTTACTATAGAGATGCTTAATTTCGGGTACTAACAAAATTGCTAAATTTTAAATCTCAGAAGCTATGTAAAAATGATAAATGCTTTATATTTCTAGCACGTTTCTTTTAGGGGTCATATAAAAGAATCCGTAAAATAAGTTTCGCGAAAGTGGATATAATTTAGCGGTAATTCCGGGTGTGTTAACGGTGAACGATAATGACGATAATAGTAGCATTGATGGTGACGGCAATCATTAATAATGATGAAAGAAATATTGATGGCAAAGAATTCTTTTAAATAAAATAAATAAAAAACATTGAAATTTATAAAATATTTAATAAATCGGGTTTGTTTTAGCATTTATTTTATTTTCGGATACTAAAAAATGTGATAGTGCTTATTTTCGGATACTAAAAAAATAAGATAATGCTTATTTTCGGGGAGTGCTTATTTTCGGAGGAAAATATTAGAATGTATTACTATAAAAATAAAATTTGAAATTTTATTAAATTTAAAGTTTAAAATAAAAAAAAAAATAAAAAAATAAATTAAAAATTAAAAAAATAAGTATAATAATAATAACCATCATCTATATTTCAAATAATCTTCATATTTATAGCTTGTTAGTAGCTTTACTCATAAACCCAACTATACTACCATTTTCATATTCATTAGTTATAGCAGTAATTAGCAGAAATAGTAACATTTTCAATGTCAAGTTGTATAAGAATGTTGATAGTGAATGATAACATTAAATGGCAAAAGAATTCTTAAAGATACTCTCAATAAAATTCAATCATAATATATAAGTGGTAAAGGTTTTAATTTTTTTAAACATTTTTTCTTGATCTTCTAATTTAGATGATTTTATTAATATTGAAGTTATTGATGTTTGATTTAGTATCTCTATTATAAAAGAATTCTTTTTTAATAATAGTTCTATAGGAAGCAAAATAAAAAAGGGTTAAATAAAAAATTTAAATAATTAATTAGATTAAGTCAAATTGATAAATACCTATTTCTAAAGATATTATTATTATTAGTAGTTTTTTTTTAAATGATTATAAATGATTTATCTTTAAAAAAAATATTTTTTTTCAAAAAGTAAAATGATTTTTTGCTAATATTTCTTATTTTTTCATAACTGTTTATTTGAATTATTAGAAATTATACTTTGTAAATAAACCTTAAATTATTAATAATATCTTTTTAGAAAATTTGATTTTCTATTTCATTTTTATAAGACATAACTAAAAAAATAGAATTTATATATATATAGTTATATTTTTTAAAAAATTTAGTAATAATATATCACAAATTCTTATAAGGAATGATTTTTTAAAGTTGAAATAAACAAATAGGTTGAAAAATTAACAAAATTTTAGATGGTTTGAAACGAATTGAAAGTTTATAATATAACAAATTCATCTAATTGTTCTTAAATAAAAATTAATTTTTCAAAAAAAATGAAAATGCATTTTGACTTTTTAAATATTACTTAATTATTATACTTATCATATTCTTTTTTCTTTCTTCTCTTTTTTTTTTTTAAAAAAAAAAATAAAAAATTAACTATTTTAATTCTTTAATAAAATAGTTTTAAAATATTAATAATAATAATAAAAACAAAAAAAAAAAGATTTTAATTACATCTGATTTTTGTATATCTCATATTAAAATTTATTTGAATTTGCAAAAATTTTTTTTTGTGAATTTTTTTTTTTTACTACAAAAAAAACTTATTCTATTGAAATCATCTATTTTTAGATGCTGATCAATAGTTCAATTAATAAACATTGACTTATACTACTTTTAGATGCTAATCTTTTTTAGCATAATATTTTTAAATTTATAATATTTCAATTTTTTACTATACAAATCAATTTCTATTTATAATTAAAAAATGTAGTTTTTACTAAACCTTATCTAAAATTAATTAAACTTATTTTTTATTTTCAGAGTAGTTTCCTCTCTTTCTACTTTATATATTTATAAATATTAATGAAAAAATTTGTAATTATATAATTATTTCTATTTATTTTATTATATTATATTATTTATAATAATAAAATTTGCTTATATTGTTTTATATTAAAAATAAAGAAAGATTTTTTTTTAATAAAAAGAATTTGAAAAAAATATTATTTATAATAACAAATTAAATTATTTTATTTATTTAAGTTTTACAAGTATATAATGACTATATTTATAATTATAAAAACTAAAATTCTATAGTTTAAATTATTTAATATATAAATAAATTTATAATTTACAATAAAGTTAATTAGCTATTCAACGTGAAAAAAAAACCTTGAAAAATTTCGGAAAAAATCCGGTAAAAGATAAAAATTCCGGTATTTATTTTTTTTAACC